ATCTACTCCGATATTCTCACCCAGACGACAACCACGACCACGATGAGTCCTCGAGTGGCTATGCTGATGCCCCCCACCGAGAGCATCGGAGGCTCTCTCTCATACAGTGTGAACCATTCTCCTCAACGATCAGGATCATGACAGCAAGGTTCAACTCGAAAGGAAGGAAGGAAGGTCACAATCATACAATGCTACGCTACGCTATGCTCCTACAAATAATGAAGGTGAGGAGAAGAAGAAGGAATTCTACAGACAATTGGAATCAACACTGCATAAGACCCCACCTCAGTTGGTGACATCAAAATTTTAATGGTTGGGGTAACATGAATGGCAAACTGGGAGCAGATAACACAGGAAGAGAACAAATTATGGGCCGAGAAGCACTAGGTGAAATGAATGAGAATGCAGAACTGTTTGCAGAATTATGTGCATTCAACGATTTGGTGATTGGAGTCCGACAGTGTGTTCAAACACAAGGATATCTACAAAGCAACATAGATTTCACCAGACACCAGGAAACACTAAAAGTCAGATCGACTTCATCTCAATGTGAAGAAAGTGAAGACGCAGCTTACTTCACACAAGGTCAAGAAGACGAACAGACGTAGACTCAAACCATTATCTAGGACAAGGAACCTCCCAAATCAAGTTGAAAGCCTTCAAGGAAGTTGGTGATAGAACAGAATTCAAGCACAACACTCGGAAACTGAAGGACGAAACTACAAGAAACATCATCACATCAGCCATCAAATCTTTGAAAGAGATGTGGAAAGGAACCTGCATAACCGTATTAGGAAGGAAGAAGAAAGAAGATAAGGATTGGATCTCGATGAACACATGGAAGCTGATAGAGGAGGGAGAGGAGAATTGTGAGGCAGAAGATAAACCAGTGTGAGGATGCACAACGAGAAGAGGATCTGAGTACTATATATCAAACACTGGACAAAGAAGTGAAGGATGGGGCGCGGAAAGACAAACGACACTTCCACGACACACTGGCAATTGAAGCAGAACAGGCTGCAGGTAGGAGAGACCGAGACCTGACAACATTACATCAAACAACCAGGTGACTATCTGGGAGGGAAGAGATCAACGCAGATGAAACCATTGAAGGATAGTGAAGAAATCTTAGTTGCCGAAGAGGTGGAACAAAGGAAACGATGGGCTGACCACTTCAAAAAACTCTTGAATAGACCACCACCTGCACTTCGTCCGGAAGTACCACCTGCAGCCCAGCGGCTGAACTACAAGTGAAGATAAATCATCCGACGAAAGTGGAAGTCCTGAGCGCCATAAAGACACTGAAATGCGGGAAAGCAGCAGCACCAGATGGAATCTCACCAGAAGCACTGGGAGCAGACGCAGAGACAACAGTGGACATGCTCACACCACACCACACCACTATTGCAGAAGGTCTGAAGGGAAAGGAAGGGAAGGTACCTGCCCATTGATTGAAAGAATGGTTACCCTGTCTAACTCCCGAAGAAGAGTGACCTAAGTCCTTGCGAGAACTGGTGCGGAATCATGCTGCTGTCCCTGTCCACGCGAAGCAAGCAAAATATTAGGCCGCAACATCCTGGAGAGATTAAAGGATGCACTGGATTCAAAACTACGACCGGAACAGGCTGGCTGGCTGGCATCAGGAAGTACAAATCAAGTCCGGACCAAATTGCAACGACACACCACGCATCACCATGGAACAGATTATAGAATGGCAGTCAACTCAACTATACCTCAACTTCATCGGCTTTGAAAACACCTTCGACAGCGTCGACCGACAAGTAATTTGGCAGTTGCTTCAAAACTACCAAATGCCACAAACATTTATCAGCCTCATTCAACAACTATATGAAGACGCCACATCGCAAGTAATTCACAATGGGAAGCTCAGTGATGCCTTTGAAACGAAGTGAAGACAGGAGTGAAACAAGGCTGCCCACTGTCACCCATGATATTCCTGATTGTGTTGTGGTCGACTCGATCATGCAATGAAAACTGTGAGGAGTGAGAGAGAAGGGGTGGATACGCTGGCTGGACCACGGCAAAAAACCTAGAAGATTTAGATTTCGCCAACGATGACTTGTGTCTGATGTCGCACAAACTGGGAGATGTACAGGCGAAAACGAACAAGTTGACAGAAGAGGTGAGGCAGTGGGGACAGGCCTTCAAGTGAATATGGGGAAGACAGAGGTGATGAAGATACCCAACCAACAATAACAGCAAAAACAACAAGCTGCAATCATCATCAACGGGAGAATCTTAAAGGGAGTAGCCTCTTTCAGCTATCTGACTAGGCACCACTGTCTCAATCACAGGTGGCACAGATGAAGACGTCAAAGCCAGTCAGGATCGGAAAGAGAGCAAGACAGGCGTTAATTAGCCAGAGACCAGTGTGAAGATCTTCAACACTCAGCATGTGGAACATGATCCGGATTTTCAACACCAACGTCAATCAGTGCTTTTGTATGGATCAGAGACTCGGCGCGTTACGAAAGGCATTCCCAATAAACTACAGATATTCATCAACAACTGCCTACACTGGCTGGTTACTGAAGATCAGTTGAGATGGCCAGAAAGAATAGGCAACAAGGCAGTCTGGCTGGTGGCGAACCAACCAAGAGCCTATCGCCCAACAGATCTGCAGAAAGAAGGAAGTTGAGATGGATTGGGCATACACTGAGGAGGTTGACTGGGGACATCACGCGTCAGGCTGGGTCGTCGAGTGGAACCCGCATGGGAATCGACGAGTTGGGCGTCCAAGGTGAGGTTGACATGACGGAGATCGTGTGAGGAGGAAATGAGAGCTTGTGTGCTGTCGTTGGGCCAGATTCAAAAGATTTCAGAGAACAGAGTGGAATGGAGATGTGCTGCTGAAGCCCTATATTCCATTAGGAACCCAAGGGATATATAATAAATAATAGTATTTAGTAAAGATGTATTTCTGGTGAGATTTTTATTAATGAGTAATAACGACGCATGGTATAGATTTTGTGATTTCAATTGACGTTCTGTGTTGTCAAATATGTTGTGTAACAATTTGTGTGAATTACTATTTCTGACAAATATTTTCACTAGCATTGGATGTTTGAGTAAAAATTTTGCTGACGGTAGCAGTAACGGACAGTTGAATAATTTGGAACGTATGATACTATTGTTTTCAACAGACTAACTAACAGTTACTTGTGAAAACATTAATTGTGAGAAAGTTTCCAAAACTCTCACCCCGCTGCATTTAGAGGATATATATGCACTTTTAGTATAAATAATCAAACTGCTTTCACCCTACGGCAGAAATAGCTAAATGATGTTTATATTTGCCCTGCGGTTGTATTTTCATGCTTGTCGCACTATTTATCATTCTCATGTGCAACTGTTTGCAGGCTGGATTAAAGTTTTGTTCATTTGCATTTTCTCAATGCATAAACGATGCTATTTCAAGTTTACAGATATCGGTTGAACAGGTAGATATACACGTGATTTCAAAGCACGCTAAATTTGTTTAAAGATTGAAAAATCATTTTCAAACATATGTTGATTTATTCTTGCAGAAAAATTTGGTGTGAACCATTCATTAGGTAACAACTGGCTTTATTTTTCGTAAGCATTGTTTTTAATCCAAACTAAAAGCTATTAATATGTTACATTATACTGCTAAAATAGAACTTATGAGAAACGATTGTTTTAAGCTGATGAGACAGTAGAGAAGATTTATTGCAAACGATGAAAATGAGAATTGAATGGTGCTTGTCAAGCTTACAAATGTATTCTTGAGCGTTTTATAACTAGGCTGGGCAACTTAATCAGTATTTACTTCTCGAAGAATTTAATTAACATAAAGTGTTTTCAATTTATGGTTTTATCATGTAATCTTTTTCTACCTTGAAATTGTGGATTTACAAGCACTTAAAATATGGAGTATATATAGCTTTACCCGTGTCGTAAAGTTTTCAGTTTCACTTGAGTATTGTATCTTTGTATCATATACTTATATGCTGGTTTTTAAAAGAGAATTCGGCACGGTTTCGTGTTTGTGATAAAAAAATTCTAAATCTGGATGCAGAGACTCATTCCTTCGGTTTATCGACGCCAGCAGCTCTAGGAATCTATCTTGATGGCTTTAATATTTGGCATTGTTATAATAAAAGTGATAAATTGGTGTGCTTTATAACGACCACTGTTTGTAGTTGTTTCTCCAACTTTTTTTATGCTTCAAGTACACGAGTTTGAAGACAATGGCCTACTGCTTTAGCGGTTAACCTCAGAGATGCTCATCGATGTAGTAGTAGATTACGAGAATGAGATAAGATGATGATAAATTTTTTTCAACCTGTGAAGAACTGTGACTTTCAGTCTTCTAAAATAAACTATCTAATACCACCAACTTCAACAATATTATATTATTGTTCAAAATAGACATCAGTAGTAAGGTAAACATTACCTTGTGATATGCTAATCGAGTGCTTATGAGCTCACGAAGAATTTTTTTGTCAAATATTCAGAAAAACATGATCCATCACTTAGAAGCAAATCAACGCTAGCGTCATTGACTGCAATATTGGGTGATATTCGTTGGAATACTGAATGAAAAATCAATTCCCTAGAGGTTACAGATACGCCTTATCGGCGACTACCATAAAACGAAAACCCCAAGCCCAGCGTTTAATAATAATTTCCTGTCATCAATTAATATGCATCAAAGTACACCATGATGGTAAGTATCTCGTTTGTTTGCATTGAAGAATGATCAATAGAATTCGGTCAGCACTTAAGACTAAAAAATATGAAATTGATCCCTCTCCAGTGACTAATCAATTTACCTTACCTTTATCTTCTGTAAAAACTGAACCTGTATTTAGTACGTAGTATATGAAAACGAAAAATTGACAAAAATTTGAGAATTCTTCAAAATATACTTGAATACTATGAATAGAAAATTTATAAGTATCTACTTATATATATTTATGTATCTTGTATTTTACTACTGTGAATAGAAAGCTTACGATTTTGGTCTTTTGTTTTTTGGATGTCTTAAAATTTCGTACTCTACTAATGATAAATCAATGTTATCCTTCACCAACTGTTTCAAAAATTTTCTGCTTCTTGCCCATCCATAATTATATCCAAATCTGAAAAGAGAAAAGAAAGCTTTAAATCCCAAGTTTTGTAATGTTTGTTAAGAAATAAAAACCACTTAAGACGATTATTTAGGATTAGCAGTTAAATTTAAAAACACTATTGTAAGCAATCATGAAGCCGATTAGATGACTCACAATGCCAATAAAAAAATTGTTTGATACACATTATACTTAGTGGATTCTTTTAACCTAAATCCCTGGAAACACTACTAGTAGACATAGTTGTTATCTTGTGTCTGAAATCAGTAAAATTTGCTCTTCATAAATGCTGAAATCATTCTTTATCAACTAAAAATTCTCTGAATACTATTAGTAGGTCTTGAAAAGGATATATCATCTTTAAATGGAATGTTGAATCTCCTAAGACTTGATTAAAGATGCTGAATGATTAATTTTGCAGTTAAAACTGAAGGTCATTCGAGATGAAAATTTCACTAATTATTTTTCACAGGTGAATGAGTTATTACAAACCTCAGATAACAGAATCTATTATCTGTTAGACTTGATTTATTTACAAAGCAAAAAAATGTGTTTAACCTAGTAGTAGTAGTAGTAGTAGTAGCCTATCCCGTAGGTCTAAGCTTCATGCAATGTATGAGGTGAATACATCTAAATGACTTCCCATAAAGAAACTTAAGATTTTTAACCTATACTTCTGAATAAAATAGTTTTATTAAAAATTGAATTATTTCTGAATCAAAAGAAGTGGTCTGTTGGAAATTTGTGATTAACTTATGAAATAATTTCTTAACAGTCAAACGCATCATTTACGTCTCAAGAATGCTTATACCAATAAGTGTCAACAAATAGTCAAAGAAAAAAGTCCAGAATATCTAGTTGTCAGAGTTTTCATTTATTAGGTTGAATATGTACAGCTGTTTTGTAGCCATGTCAAGATCTATGACAAAATGTATGTTTTTTTTATAGAAGTGAACTTTATAACAGACTGTTTAATTCCTATATTTTGTTAAAATGTATGTTCGCATATTTTACCTTCCATTGCCGTCGAAAACGTTTTCTTCAGTCGAATTACAAAAGAAGTGATATTCCAGGAAAAATTTCTGTCTGAGTGAACTACACTGGAATTTTTGACAATTAATATGCACTCTGTTTACGCTTAAGTGCGAACGCGTGGCTTTTGGGAGTGTTGTCACAGGAAACTAATCTATCGGCTTGACTTTTTTTTATCTTATATGACTCAATAAGAAGAGTAGGGTGATACTGTTTGTGTACTGACATCAGCTAGAGAAACACTGGAAACCTGAGAGCACTGAACAGTTGTTTCGTCGTACTATGAGAATCCTCATTGGTTATCAAGTGCTCCTAGATCTCCAATGTTTCTCCAGCTGATGTCAGTCCAAGATGAACACCAGCCTTAAATCAATCAAAAATAACACACAAACCTCAAAATTGGTAAGACGAAGTCTTGAAAAGGCTACAAAGACCTTTTAGCAACTAACACAGTGAATGGTTTCATGAGTTTTGTTATCAGGCTTACAGTAGCGAATGTTGAAATTCATTTCCTAGAAATCATGAATACCCCGAAGATTACTGGAACTAGCTTCTTCTCATTCAAACTGTATAAGACAAAATGAACTGTATCGATGAAATTCGCTTTAATTTATCTGAACAAGACAGGGATCTGGTGCAGAGATCTAATTCACTGTTTCACCTCTCAGATAACAAGCGACAAGTATTCAGAAAGTAGGCCAAATCAAGTATTGGCGACTAGCGTAAAAACCCTGGCAATAAACTTAATTAAACGTATCCGGAAGAATGTTTTACTGTTATTTCACTAAAAAACACTCTTTTATCAACCCTACAGTGGACATAGGATGACACTCAGAAAATATCACTCCAAGATGTAAAATTAAGAGAAAGAGGTGATGGAACACATAAATTCCACATGCTGACAATATATTTGACGTGAATAAATGAAAAACTTAAGCAGTTGGATTTTCATAAGCTGAAAAGGATGCTTAATCCACTTCCCTTTTCCCAAATCCAAATAGTTTTTACTTTTGATAATTAAGTAGATGAAACTCAACTTTTAAGGTCGTTGCTCATGAAGGATGAATAACCAGAAAGATTCATAGGTGAAAATCTAAATCTGAATGTGATTCATCCGTCACCTATCAATGTGAAGAAGAAGCGGCTTTCCATTTTGGAATTCAACATAGATTCATCAAATGAAGTGCAAAAATGTGGAATAATGAAATCTGTCACCAAAAAATTCTACGCAACTTATTTTTAAAACATTTATACTAGTGATCTAACGGTGAACATGTGTATGAAAACCAAACTGCCATTGCTACGCAATTTTATGTGCACATGTCATTTCCCATACTCTTGTGCGTCTAGGCGCTCAGACCACACACACAAATAGTTCAAAATCGATGCCAACATTTTGCATAACGGCTTGGATAGGTCAAAACAGATTGGCGACTAGCTCTATATTTTAGCATGCAGTCGATAGTTGTCAGTCTAATAAATATAGCATAATCATCCAGAGACTCTGGGGTAATGTTCAGTTCGCCTTACTGAAAATATGAAATCGATATTGTGCGTATGCGTAACCAACTTTGTCATTCACTGTATTTATTTACTGCTTCATTCTTTTCTGTTTTCCATCTTCAAGCTTTAACTAACCTTTTTTGATTTTCATTTGTTTTTATTTAAATTTTTGTATCTCAGTTGCATGCTTATTGTTTTTTTGACCAATGACTTTGTTAAGAATTCCCCAGTTCTCGATCACGAATCACCCTTATTCGATCATAAAGTCAAATAATTTCATGTACCTTGAGTAATTTTCATTCATTAATGACTTTCCTGATGACAGTCTACTGACAGTTATTAAGTGAAATTTGGTGACAATTTTGTCACTTAGTGTGCACTTTAATTACAGCTGAATGTGAGTAGACCACTTTTTAGAATGATATCTTCAAAAACTAAAGGGTTCGTTCAAGCCATTTTTCTTTTTTAAAAACAGAATTCTAAGTATCTTTATCATTTAGGTTGAATTAAAAAGTTTTCTAGTCCTAATACTCCTGAAAAGTCAACTTTTTGAACAGTTTCTGTTTTCGTATATTTAATTTACATCACGTTCACTATTTCATGACAAAATTTGTTACAATCAATTCAAATTCGGTCAAATTGACGCCATCTGAGTACTGACTCCAAAGTAACGAGAAGCTGCAGTAGCTCTGTCATATGCAACCGAAATTTCCTGTTAATTAATTATTTCGCTGATCAGCTTATAGGCCAATCTTGCTTAATTGGAGAATTTCCGTGATGATTTTTGATATTGTATACATGACACAGAACTGCTCACTATTTTTTATGTCAGCTGAGAACTGATTTCATATTTAATTTTGGCATCCATAGTTTTAATGTATACTTTGGGGAATGCCTCACATTTTTAAAAGAAATGAATAGATGTGTTTTAACGAAACATCATGAAAACATATAGTGGGCCTGTGTGTAAGGGAGACAGGTGGTTTATTTCACAAAACCTTTAACAATTTATCCCAGCGTTCGTTTCTTTGACAATAATGCAGACATGGGGCAACCAAGAGAATTGAAAATTTTACTTAAATCTATCATGGTAAGAAGTAATGAACTTTGAAAATTCAAACAGCTGCTTCAAGAAGATTACACAAGTATTAGCTATCTAATGATAGGAACAGACTTGGAGAGGATAGTTTTTCACGGCTAGACAAGGCGAACTACCCAGTAAACTACATGAATTGAAATCTAGATAAGCTTTGCATATATTATTCTAGAACATGAAGAGAAAAACCTAATGCTCCCTATCCAGTAGTCTGAATGAATTAAATATTGAACATTGACACCCGTATAGCAATAGTTAACTGAAAGTAAAACTATGGTGTTCTACCTCAACCGGAAACAAATGATTACAAAACAAGCTAATTCGCTACAAGTCATCCTACAGCGGTATGAACTGAGAGTAGCATAACAAAAAAATAATCTTTCATCCCTAATTCACTATTCACTGAACAGAGCAAACCATTAACTTGATGGATAGTGAACGTGAATTTCACTACAGTTGCTTTATTTTACCATAAACCCTAGTGTTGTAAATATTATATGTCCGACAAAAACATTGTAAGCTTGTTTTTGGTGAAATATATTATTATAGAAGAAAACGCAAACGGAATGTATTTCATGCATTTAGATCCCTTGATAAATTTGGATAAAGCAAGAAAGATGAAGTTTACAAAATAAAATAAAATCAACATTTCATCTCATTAATACTCTTCAGTCGAATACAGTCTAAAAGTGAAATGGTTATTGGTAAATAGGATATTTCAAAACAAGGAAATCAACAATCTTAAGTTCTGAAATGAAATCATTGATAATCTATGTGACATTTTAGACAACTAATTGTACAAAGGGTTAAGAAGTATTGGAAAGAAAGAATAGTAATACATAAATAAGAAGTTATGTAGTTAAAATGAAACTGAAACAGGATTATATCATATTCACAGTGGGAGTGAGGGACCGACTACACTCTCCTTCTATGTGCAAAGACCAGACCGATAGTTTTATTGCAATCACTTGTGCGAAACGCAGTAATTCAGACAATCTCTTCATGCTTATTATATCAAAAGCATTGGAGTCTACCAGGTGTCTGGTAATTATATTTGCTAGAGGTTTGCTTCCTCCTGAGCACAGATGTTTTGGAATATGCTCACCTTCTGTCACTCCCTCCAAAATACCTGCTTTACAAGTATACGTGAATTCATAAATACAGTTGGTGACGTGACCACGTTAACTATACTACAATTTTGACTGGTTTAATTAGTAAGTAGTATTGTATACTCATACAAGTTTAGCAGTAAAAATGCTACTTTTTATTATTCTTTTGACTATTATGTCTATTCACTGGGATACTGCGCCTCTCGGAAGATGAGAACATGCATTGTTGATTCGAAGGGAAGTATAGGATTTCGAAAGTGTGCCCATTGGGC